GCTTTGACCTAAATATGATTTTCAGTTACAATAATTAGTACTAAAATTTGACATTAGTAACTTACTTTTAACAACATCAAACGCTCCCGGTTCTTACTTGTGAGTTCAGTTCACTGGAGACTCACACTAAACGGATCATTTGAATCAGTGAGTTGTCGACTCGAGAACAGCTGCAATCGGATCATTCCAATTCGTGAATTAATCGTTTGGTGCGATTTGCGAACCGATTTAACGGGTTCATTGAAAAGAATCAGTTCGTTCTTGAATCAGACACAGCTTCTGCGTCTCGGAGCACGTGATATATTATAAGGAGTAACGAAATGCTTTATGAAATGTAGTGAAGTAAAAAGTACGATCTTATGCTTTGGAATGTAGTGAAGTGAAAGTAAAAGTTACTCAAAATAAAACTACTCCAGTAAAGTACAGATACTTGAAAAATTTAGTACAGTACAGTAACGAAGTAAAACTACTTTGTTACTGTCCACCACTGATTTAGCATTTAGCATTAAAGAAATTGAATTAACATGTATAAAATAAAACACTATATACACTTCACTGTATAAATTTTACATTGATTTTTATTAAAGCGACTGTTTTAAAGTTCTTCAGTCAAGAGCAGTGAGTGATTTTTCTCTTTGCGTTTTGTTGTTTTATTAACATTAAAGGGATAGTTCACACAAAAATGAAAATTCTGAGAGAAAAAAAATTCATTTACTCACTCTCAAGTTGTTTTAAACCTGAATGAGTTTCTTTCTTCTGTTGAAAGTAAAAATTATTTTGAAGATTGTGGGTAACCAAACAGTTGCTGGTTCCCAGTGTCTTCCATAGTATTTATTCTTTCCTACTATCAAAGTCAATGGGGACCAGCAACTGTTTGTTACCCACATTCTTTAAAATATACAGTGGGTACGGAAAGTATTCAGACCCCCTTAAATTTTTCACTCTTTGTTATATTGCAGCCATTTGCTAAAATCATTTAAGTAAATTTTTTTTCCTCATTAATGTACACACAGCACCCCATATTGACAGAAAAACACAGAATTGTTGACATTTTTGCAGATTTATTAAAAAAGAAAAACTGAAATATCACATGGTCCTAAGTATTCAGACCCTTTCCTCAGTATTTAGTAGAAGCACCCTTTTGATCCAATACAGCCATGAGTCTTTTTGGGAAAGACCCAACAAGT